GATTTAAAAACCGGGACATTTTAGGGTTGGACCGGGACACCGGGACATTTTAGGGTTGGACCGGGACACCGGGACAAATGGCCTAAAACCGGGACATGTCCCGCAAAACCGGGACGTCTGGCAGCCCTAGTCAAGACGTCATTCAAAAGTTTTAAAGAAAATCACTTTTCTCTTTTGTGAAAATTTGGGACTATCTTATGCGAGTATTGTCGACAACATTTTAGTCTATGAATGACTAAAAATTAACGAATAAATGGTTAATCGCGATTAATGGTTAAAATTAATTAAGCGATCGCTGTGGTGTAGTGGTTAGAAGTGCGCATTCGACGCTTCCAGAAATCACATAATACATAAAATAAATAAAAGCTGTTTTGATTAATATTACATAAACTGGAAACTGTTAAAAATAAGTGCGCTTGTGTACAGAGATTTTAGAACCTATTTAGTTCCTAAAATGTCTGCAACACATAACAATAAAAATGCACATCAAATTGCTAAGAATGATGAAGGAAATCGATTCAGACATGCCTGTTTAACTGGCCGTGCGTGCTCAAAACAAACACATGTTAATTAAGGAGCTATTCAAGTATTATGTAACCACCAGTGGAAAGCGGGGGTCTTGGTTTGCTTATTTTTAATAACAACGGGCAACATTTCTTCAAATAAGTAAAACATTAATTACACACGCACAAATTTTGCCTGCAATTTCGATCACAATTGAACACTGCACTTCACTCTCGTTTCGAATTTTTGAAAGCGTTTTTTAAGCTATTTGATGGTTTAACACTTCTTGTGGGCACTTGATATTGTAAAAAAAATATGCGCAATTCGATCCCTACCTAAATTTTTTTGTAAAGAACGCCCGTTTGCTTTAAATTTGTAAAAATACAATTATTTTTTTATTTTGTTTACATCTGTCATTTGTTACAAATGAAGAAAAGTCCAAGAGTTGCCAAGTATAAATATCTTTATATCTATTTATTAAAATAATAATTTACAATAATAATTTATTTAATTAATACTTTATTAAAATACAAATTTGAAGTGCAAGTACATTTGTAAAACTGTTTATCACAAAATGTTATTAATTGTTTGCAAGCATACTATAGTTTTCATGCATTTTGAGAATAAATAATCTAATATGTTTACATATATATCGCCGTTTAAAGTACAAAACCGCGTATCGTCATTCTGCAAAACCGTGTGACTGACATTGGCTGCCAAAAATTGGATTTGCTCACAAAAGCTCTTGGCTCAATTCTTATCCATTCGTCCTGAAATATACTAGCCAGAAATACGTTTGCTTTATAAAAAAGATAACCATTTTGAAATATGGGTGACTTTACTCTCTAGAAAATAATTTATGCAATTACGCGGTTTTGCATTTTCTTGATACGCGGTTTTGTACTTTAAACGACGATATGTATAGCACGATATGTATACTTACGGCGGCCGCCGTAGCAGAGTGATTACATGTGCGTACTTCCACTCCATAGGACCATGGTTAAATACCTGGTCAGATCATAACCCAAAATAGCAGTCGTCCTTCGGCACGCAATGGCAAACCTTCGAGTATATTTCTGCCTTGAAAACTCTTCTTATAAAATCAGAACTCATGCCTCAAGTTTGAGCAGAAGTTCGGCCAAACACTTAGAAAAATATTTTAGCACCAAATACTCATTTGTTTACTTATTTTAAGGGTGTCAACCATTCCATAACACACTACATATTTTGTGTTTACAATTTGTAACCAATCTCAAGAGTGGTTGTTAAATTTTTTAAATCAAACAATCACATTTTTGAAACGAAAAAAATGAGAATGCACACTCAATTGATTCAATCATTACACAGCTCTGCTGCTACCCAAAGACCGTCTAACACCTTACGTTCGACCCTTCACATACAGTGAAGTTGCAGCGGGCGCAGAGAGAAGCATTGATTGCATTGTTTACATGATTGACGACTCCAGCAGTGCACCTTGAGTTAGCTGAAAGTCTTTCCACAGATGCATTTATCATGTGTCTTCGAAATTTCGTTAATCGTCACTCATACGCATTCGAAGCGATAATGGCACTAACTTTGTTGGAGCGCAGAGGGAGATGAAGGAGTCGGAGAGGATGGTCGATTTCCAAGCAATCGGCCGTGAAATGTCTAAGAATAAAATCGAATGGGTGTTCAACTGTCCCGCAGATCCAAATAGTGGGGGCTGCTGGGAGCGACTAATCCAGCGCACCAAACGACTCCTACAAAAGGTTTTTAAAGAAGAAGCGCCAAGGATGGAGACATTCCGCGGTGTGATGATTAAGAAGGACATTTATTTAAATAGATATCATCTCGCAAATAAAATTTTTCACATTCAGTGAGTTAGTTTCTATAATTTCTTTATCCTCGTGCTAGTAGTATAAAGTTAGTGATACTGTGCTCTATAACCAAAGAAAACACGACTATTGTCGCATGTGTAAACGAAAAGAGAGTGTGGGTCGTTCATGTAACAGACTGCGTAAACTTATAAGATTATCTGCTTGATAAAGTTATCGGTTTGGATGAATACCACTGATATATTCCAATTTTTTACTAGCCCATTTTCGGGCTACTTGCAAAGCTACTGGTAACAAAATAACAAAGGCGGTAAAATTTGAAACATACTGAAAGCAATTCCAAAAATTTCAACCCTTCGCAGAAATGGCAACATTCCTATTAAACATTTAGGTATGAGCTCAACTTGGAATTAAGTAGAGAACTACGGATTTTCTCAAATCTCCAACGTTGTTTCTCAACAGTACTTCAAGCTGAGGATTAGGGTTCGAAATTTCAGACTTTGGTATCGATACTGAGTACTCATTCTGGCCTCGAGCTCATGGTATCGATACTCTAAAAGTATCAGGGAAAAAGTATCGATACTACTCAGTATCGGACTCATTAAAATACGTTTTTGGGATACTAAAATTATTTTGTTCTTCAATCGTATATCTAGTTATTTCCTAAAATTATAACAATAGACATTTAAAATATTTGATTTTTATTTCATTGCAGAACTTACTTCCACGT